TGTTGACTACCTCGCCTGGTCTACAGGAGGTCGTGGGTTCAATCCCAGACACTGAGAGATGTTGACTACCTCGCCTGGTCTACAGGAGGTCGTGGGTTCAATCCCAGACACTGAGAGATGTTGACTACCTCGCCTGGTCTACAGGAGGTCGTGGGTTCAATCCCAGACACTGAGAGATGTTGACTACCTCGCCTGGTCTACAGGAGGTCGTGGGTTCAATCCCAGACACTGAGAGATGTTGACTACCTCGCCTGGTCTACAGGAGGTCGTGGGTTCAATCCCAGACACTGAGAGATGTTGACTACCTCGCCTGGTCTACAGGAGGTCGTGGGTTCAATCCCAGACACTGAGAGATGTTGACTACCTCGCCTGGTCTACAGGAGGTCGTGGGTTCAATCCCAGACACTGAGAGATGTTGACTACCTCGCCTGGTCTACAGGAGGTCGTGGGTTCAATCCCAGACACTGAGAGATGTTGACTACCTCGCCTGGTCTACAGGAGGTCGTGGGTTCAATCCCAGACACTGAGAGATGTTGACTACCTCGCCTGGTCTACAGGAGGTCGTGGGTTCAATCCCAGACACTGAGAGATGTTGACTACCTCGCCTGGTCTACAGGAGGTCGTGGGTTCAATCCCAGACACTGAGAGATGTTGACTACCTCGCCTGGTCTACAGGAGGTCGTGGGTTCAATCCCAGACACTGAGAGATGTTGACTACCTCGCCTGGTCTACAGGAGGTCGTGGGTTCAATCCCAGACACTGAGAGATGTTGACTACCTCGCCTGGTCTACAGGAGGTCGTGGGTTCAATCCCAGACACTGAGAGATGTTGACTACCTCGCCTGGTCTACAGGAGGTCGTGGGTTCAATCCCAGACACTGAGAGATGTTGACTACCTCGCCTGGTCTACAGGAGGTCGTGGGTTCAATCCCAGACACTGAGAGATGTTGACTACCTCGCCTGGTCTACAGGAGGTCGTGGGTTCAATCCCAGACACTGAGAGATGTTGACTACCTCGCCTGGTCTACAGGAGGTCGTGGGTTCAATCCCAGACACTGAGAGATGTTGACTACCTCGCCTGGTCTACAGGAGGTCGTGGGTTCAATCCCAGACACTGAGAGATGTTGACTACCTCGCCTGGTCTACAGGAGGTCGTGGGTTCAATCCCAGACACTGAGAGATGTTGACTACCTCGCCTGGTCTACAGGAGGTCGTGGGTTCAATCCCAGACACTGAGAGATGTTGACTACCTCGCCTGGTCTACAGGAGGTCGTGGGTTCAATCCCAGACACTGAGAGATGTTGACTACCTCGCCTGGTCTACAGGAGGTCGTGGGTTCAATCCCAGACACTGAGAGATGTTGACTACCTCGCCTGGTCTACAGGAGGTCGTGGGTTCAATCCCAGACACTGAGAGATGTTGACTACCTCGCCTGGTCTACAGGAGGTCGTGGGTTCAATCCCAGACACTGAGAGATGTTGACTACCTCGCCTGGTCTACAGGAGGTCGTGGGTTCAATCCCAGACACTGAGAGATGTTGACTACCTCGCCTGGTCTACAGGAGGTCGTGGGTTCAATCCCAGACACTGAGAGATGTTGACTACCTCGCCTGGTCTACAGGAGGTCGTGGGTTCAATCCCAGACACTGAGAGATGTTGACTACCTCGCCTGGTCTACAGGAGGTCGTGGGTTCAATCCCAGACACTGAGAGATGTTGACTACCTCGCCTGGTCTACAGGAGGTCGTGGGTTCAATCCCAGACACTGAGAGATGTTGACTACCTCGCCTGGTCTACAGGAGGTCGTGGGTTCAATCCCAGACACTGAGAGATGTTGACTACCTCGCCTGGTCTACAGGAGGTCGTGGGTTCAATCCCAGACACTGAGAGATGTTGACTACCTCGCCTGGTCTACAGGAGGTCGTGGGTTCAATCCCAGACACTGAGAGATGTTGACTACCTCGCCTGGTCTACAGGAGGTCGTGGGTTCAATCCCAGACACTGAGAGATGTTGACTACCTCGCCTGGTCTACAGGAGGTCGTGGGTTCAATCCCAGACACTGAGAGATGTTGACTACCTCGCCTGGTCTACAGGAGGTCGTGGGTTCAATCCCAGACACTGAGAGATGTTGACTACCTCGCCTGGTCTACAGGAGGTCGTGGGTTCAATCCCAGACACTGAGAGATGTTGACTACCTCGCCTGGTCTACAGGAGGTCGTGGGTTCAATCCCAGACACTGAGAGATGTTGACTACCTCGCCTGGTCTACAGGAGGTCGTGGGTTCAATCCCAGACACTGAGAGATGTTGACTACCTCGCCTGGTCTACAGGAGGTCGTGGGTTCAATCCCAGACACTGAGAGATGTTGACTACCTCGCCTGGTCTACAGGAGGTCGTGGGTTCAATCCCAGACACTGAGAGATGTTGACTACCTCGCCTGGTACGCAGGAGGTCGTGGGTTCAATCCCAGACCCTGAGAGATGTTGACTACCACGCCTGGTACGCAGGAGGTCGTGGGTTCAATCCCAGACCCTGAGAGATGTTGACTACCTCGCCTGGTACGCAGGAGGTCGTGGGTTCAATCCCAGACAATGAGAGATGTTGTACAGGAGGTCGTGGGTTTGATCTCGACCCTGACGACGCCTGCTGCTGTATGTTTGGAGTTTGAGTGTCTCTCATCATCATGGTGGCTAGCAGATGTTGATTACCTCGCCTGGTGTACAGGTCGTGGGTTTGATCTCGACCCTGACGACGCCTGCTGCTGTATGTTTGGAGTTTGAGTGTCTCTCATCATCATGGTGGCTAGCAGATGTTGATTACCTCGCCTGGTGTACAGGAGGTCGTGGGTTTGATCTCGACCCTGACGACGCCTGCTGCTGTATATTTGGAGTTTGCGCATCTCTCTCCCCATGGTTGTGTGGATTTTTTTCCCGGCACCCTCCGGCTTTTCCCCTCCATGTGCATTGGCCGCTGCTATAGAAGTCCACGTGACAAGCCACCTCATTCGGCGAGGTCGCTTTCGGAAAAAAGAGCTCTCTATCTCAGTGGGCCTTGCCTGGTGAAATATATAGTAAACAGTTAGTAAGTCACATGACCAAGACGTACAATTCCGCAGGCTGCAATTGACAAGACCCAGGGGGTTGGCAGCCTGATGCGTCGGAGCCGCATGCGGCCCTTTAAGGGCTGCTTTGTGACGTCATTCATCACGTGCATTGAGGCCCTTTAAGGGCTGCTTTGTGACGTCATTCATCACGTGCATTGAGGCTCTTTAAGGGCTGCTTTGTGACATCATTCATCACGTGCATTGAGGCCCTTTAAGGGTTGCTTTGTGACGTCATTCATCACGTGCATTGAGGCTCTTTAAGGGTTGCTTTGTGACGTCATTCACCACGTGCATTGAGGCTCTTTAAGGGTTGCTTTGTGACGTCATTCATCACGTGCATTGAGGTACAGTTTTCGCAATCATCCATAAGTTGAGCTTTGCCGGTAGAAAAGCGCCGAGTAGTTAAGAGTTGAGCTCTTGCCGAGGCAGACTTAAGTATTGCTGAAAGTTTTCCTCGACGCTTTTTCATTTTTGAGTCACTTGCAGAGTGAAGGACTTGGAGAAGTCGTACTGCACCGAGCTAAGAGTTGTGAGCTGAGACGTGGAACAGGTGGAGATTTGAGTCGTCGCACACCGATAGAGTGCCCGAGCGACAGGCTGTGAAAGTTGTTGTTCAAGCCCAGTGACTTGACGTTGTATTTGGTGGAGGCCAGAGGGGGTGGGTGTGGTCACGTGCAGGCTGCTGCCCTAGGCTGCTCTACAGGCCCGATACGCCGCGTTTGAATGTTGAAGCGAGATTCATCGATGTCGTCACGATTGACAATACAAACCCCGAGACAACGAGAGAGCCAGTAACAAGTCGCGATACACTTTGTGCACAATCGCAAATAATCATATACATACATATTAGTCAAGAATATAAATCACAACAATAATACTCTTTGGTTCTTTCGGTAGTCACGTAGGTATAAAATAAAATGGGTTGCGCCCGAAACGTGACTTTACTGAAAGAACCAAAGAGTATGGATTCTTGCAGTCACAAAAACTTCAACTAACATTACATTGCACAATCAACATTTCTGAAAACTTTCGAATTTTCACAATGCAATTATTAAAATTACAATGGGTCTCTGTGGGAGTCTATGGGTCTCTGTATGATGATTCTACGGGTCTTTGTGTCTATGGGTCTTTGTGAATCTATGGGTCTCTGTGTGATGAGTCGATGGTCTCTGTGGTGAGTCTATGGGTCTCTGTTTGAGTCTATGGGTCTCGAAATGATGAGTTTATGGGTCTCTGTGGTGAGCCTATGGGTCTCTGGATGAGTATATGGGTCTCTGTATGAGTCTATGGGTCTCTAAATGATGAGTTTATGGTTTTCTGTGGTGAGCCTATGGGTTTCTGTATGAGTCTATGGCTCTGCGTGAGTCTATGGGTCTCTAAATGAGTCTATGTGTATGTGTGATTAGTCTATGGGTATCTGCGTGATGAATCTATTGGTCTGCGTTATGAGTGTATGGTTTAGTCTATGTTTGTGTGTCTATTGTTCGTGACAAGTCTATGGGTCTCTTTGTGAGTCTATGGGTCTCTGTGTGAGTCTATGGGTATGTGTGATTAGTCTATGGGTATCTGCGTGATGAATCTATTGGTCTGCGTTATGAGTCTATGGGTCTCTTTGTGAGTCTATGGGTCTCTATGTTACATTATACACTAGTGAGTGGGTGGGTGGCCAGCAATACGGCTGAACGCATTTGTCTCCCTAGGGGGCAATGTTTACAAACCACACCGGGTATACACTATATATACTTATATTTATGCGATCTATAAAGAAAGAAAACGGCGCACAAATGGATCCCTGGAATATGGCCAAAGTCCTTTTCCAGTTAACTAAACAAACACATTTTTTTTCCCCGCTAATGCCGACCAAGCTGAAATGACCCCTTTTTCAGAAGCGACGGGGTCATCACCAGCGACAATCTCGATTCTCATCCTCCTGCTTCACGCCGACTCCATCCACCAGGAGGTCGCCACCTGGAGTCGAACCCTGACCTTCACGCTTCACCGTTGTCTCTTCTTCACACTTCACCATCACTCCTGGCCACGTAGCGAAGTTGTCATTTTCTTCCGATTCTTGTTTTATGAAAGATGGACTCATGGGAGCAGCACTTTGACCATCGCAAGTAGATTTCACCCTCTCATGGATCTTCTCATGCTTCTTTCGTTTTCCTGACGCAGCAAACCCTTTCCCACACACGGTGCACTTGTAGGGCTTCTCACCCGTGTGCGTTCTCTCGTGAACTCGAAGAGAACTTGATTGTACAAATGCCTTCCCACACATAGTGCACTTGAATGACTTCTCACCTGTGTGTGTTCTCCGATGAATCCGAAGATAGTTTGAGTAGATAAATGCCTTCCCACAGACGGTGCACTTGTAGGGCTTCTCACCTGTGTGCGTTCTCTCGTGAACTCGAAGATAGTTTGAATAGACAAATGCCTTCCCACACACGGTGCACTTGAATGCCTTCTCACCTGTGTGCGCTCTCTGATGAATCCGAAGATAGTTTGAGTAGGCAAATGCCTTCCCACAGACGGTGCACTTGTAGGGCTTCTCACCCGTGTGTGTTCTCTCGTGAACTCGACAATTTGATGAACATACAAAAGCCTTCCCACACGTGGTGCACTTGAATGGCTTTTCGTCCGTGTGTGTTCTCTCATGCAGCTTGAAGTGTCCAGGGCGATCCGTGCTGTAGGCACACCGGTCGCATTGATGCCTTTTAGCACGGCGCTCTGTCGAGGGCTTCTCCATGCGATCGACTCTGCAAATATACCTTACACTTAATTTGGAGCTTTCGTGACTGCAGGAATTATTCTTTGGTTCTTTCGGTAAAGTCACGTATAAAGATAAAATAATAACTTAAATTAAATACTAGCATACAAAGTTTCGATTGCAACACAAGCAATCATCATCAGGTATAAATTAAATAGAAACACAAATCTAGTATACTTAGAAATGTAATGTAATATAACAGAGTCGGATAACATAACAGTCAACACCCTATCTGGTTGAGAGAGATTAAATCTCTCTCTCAAATTTAGCATTCTCAGGAAGAACTTAATCAACCAGATAGGGTGTTGACTGTTATGTTATCCAACTCTCTGTTATATTACATTACATTTCTAAGTATACTAGATTTGTGTTTCTATTTAATTTATACCTGATGATGATTGCTTGTGTTGCAATCGAAACGTCGTATGCTAGTATTTAATTCAATTTAATATTTTATCTTTATACGTGACTTTACCGAAAGAACCAAAGAATTATACCTTACACGTTACACACAACATGAAATCGACTGCAGGTATACGTTACACGTTACAACATGCACACACGCACTACAGAGACATCCCCCGTGTGCAGGGAGCCCCCCCCCTGCATCCCTCCTCCCTGGTTCCTCCCCCTTCTCACCCTACTATATAAGAGCGTGTCACTAAGAGCCCTCTGCTCACGGCAGTGATTGTGCTCTGGTTGTCCCACCTGATGACGGAAGCTTGTGTTGCCTCCGAAACGTCGTAACTTAATTATTTTCATATTCTTGGTTCTTTCGGAAAAGTCACGAAGGGAAATACTAAAATAAAACTATAAATATATGATTGCTTGTGTTGCAGTCGAAACGTCATGAGAATTTTAATTGTTTTATATTATTTTATTATTTCCCTTCTATGTGACTTTACCTAAAGAACCAAAGAGTATACACCTTCAGAATTAAGAGAAAAGTAATTTCATTCGTGAATGATGAATATTATTTATTGTTAGCCTTGTAAAAAATACATTTTACTATATTGTTTTCATCTACGTGACTTTACCTAAAGAACCAAAGAGTATAAACCTCCAGATATTAAGAGAAAAGTTATTTCATTCGTGAATGAATATTATTTCTTGTTAGCCTTGTAAAAAATACATTTTACTATATTTTTTCATCTACGTGACTTTACCTAAAGAACCAAAGAGTATAAACCTCCAGATATTAAGAGAAAAGTTATTTCATTCGTGAATGATGAATATTATTTCTTGTTAGCCTTGTAAAAAATACATTTTACTATATTTTTTTCATCTACGTGACTTTACCTAAAGAACCAAAGAGTATAAACCTCCAGATATTAAGAGAAAAGTTATTTCATTCGTGAATGATGAATTGTATTTCTTGTTAGCCTTGTAAAAAAAACATGTTTTCATCTACGTGACTTTACCTAAAGAACCAATAAAAAATGTGTTATTATAATTTGTAATAATTAAATAATAAAATGCCATAACTTTTACTAATTAAAGAATTATAAAGATATTAAGAGAAAAGTAAAAAATAAAAACATTTTATTATTTTTCTTTAACTTTGTTTTCCTTTTGTAAATATTACTGGGGGGAGGGCACAGCATCTTGTAGTCCAGGGGCCTACACAATCTTAATCCGGCCCTGCCCATGTGCAGCCTTCATTGTGTTGGGGCAGTGAGTGAGAGTGAGATTGTCAGTGTGTGTGTGTGAGATTGTCAGTGTGTGAGAGTGGGATTGTCAGTGTGTGTGAGATTGTCAGTGTGTGAGTGTGAGTTTGTCAGTGTGTGAGATTGTCAGTGTGTGTGTCAGTGTGTGAGAGTGTGAGTGAGAGTGTGTCAGTGTGTCAGTGTGTGAGAGTGATTGTGAGATTGTGAGTGAGAGTGTGTCAGAGTGAGTGTGTCAGAGTGAGTGTGTCAGAGTGAGTGAGAGTGAGATTGTGTGTGAGAGTGTGTGTGAGATTGTGAGAGATTGTGAGAGTGTGTGTGAGTGAGAGATTGTCAGAGTGAGTGTGAGTGAGATTGTGAGTGTGAGTGAGATAGTGAGTGTGTCAGTGTGTGAGTGATTGTGAAATAGTGAGTGAGTGTGAGATTGTGAGTGTGTGAGATTGTGAGAGTGTAAGTGTAAGAGATAGTGAGAGTGAGTGAGCTTGTGAGTGTGTGATAGTGAGTGTCTGTGTGTGTCAGTGTGAGCTAGTAAGTGAGAGTGTAAGTGTGTAAGAGTGTGAGATTGAGAGCTTGTGAGTGTGTAAGAGAGATAGTGAGCTAGTGAGTGAGAGTGTGAGCTAGTGAGTGAGAGTGTGTGATTGTGAGCTAGTGAGTGAGATTGTGAGTGTGTGTGAGTGTGAGAGTGTGTAAGAGTGAGAGTGTGTCAGTGTGAGTGTGAGCTAGTGAGTGAGTGTGTGAGTGATAGTGAGCTTGTGAGTGTAAGAGTGAGTGTGAGTTTGTGAGTGAGAGTGTAAGTGTGTAAGTGTGGTGAGTGAGTGAGATAGTGAGTGATTATGAGCTAGTGTGTGTAAGTGTGTAAGATTGTGAGTAAGAGTGAGTGAGAGTGAGTGTGTAAGAGTTTGTGAGAGTGTAGGAGATAGTGAGTGATAGTGTGTAAGAGTGAGTGAGCTAGTGAGTGAGAGTGAGTGAGCTAGTGAGTGTGAGTGTGTAAGAGTGTGTAAGAGTGTAAGATTGTAAGAGTGAGCTAGTGATATTGATAGTGGTGACACTGACCGCTGGCGAATCGCCGTCATGGTCGAGGCCGCCATCTTGTCCCCCTCACGACTCTAAAATGGCCGCCAGCGAGGAGGGGGAGGAGCCAGAAAATTTGGCGGGAAAACAAACCGCCGCGTCACGTGACAGGCGAGACGCTCAACTGTGATTGGCTCCAAGGCGGAGAGAGATTTTATTTTTTAGAGGAAAACTTTTTTTGTACCGTACGTACGACTAATTACTAAACTCGCCATCAACAATAAACACTCGCGTTGGCATTCGTGAGATATACATAAATAAAGTGAAAAATGTATTGGTTATGTAAATTATCAGAAATCTCATACAGTATAAGGTACATAAAAATTAACCCGTAAAAACAAAGTTTTTCACTCTAAATCCTTTATATGCGTGGTATCGGGGCGGCTAGAGTCCTCTCGTCCTCTGGCTTGAGATGGCTGCCACCTATGGGTCAGATGATTGTCTGCCACCATTAAGCAATTGGTAATTAAATATTTAAAATATTTTCCCTAAACAGTGTAAAATTTGGGAATTTTTTTTTCACAAAAAATAATTGTCACGCACAACGAGTCTGTGTGGAAAATGTCAGCTCGATTGGATCACGGGAAGTGGGTTAAAAAACGAGCGAAAGGTTTGCACGGTCGTAAACAAGCAAGCAAGTGAACTTAATATAAAGGATTTAAAAATGACCCAAATGAGATGTTGACTGGTAATTACATCTCAAACACAGCTGTCAACAGTGGCAGAGCACGCTTGCCAACAAGGACATTCAACTAATTTTGATAACGTGGAAGTGTTGTGCAAAATCGAATTATTACTGGCCAAGACTAATTAGAGAATCAATCAAATTGAGAAAAAAAAACAAATAATTTCCACCGCTGTGATAGCTACAGAGTCAGCACAGCCTGGAAGCGCTTGCAAGGGATTACACTTTACATATTGGTGCTTATCCTCAGAGCCACGAGTGGAAATTTCGCATACCTACGGTGGATCAAATGATGTTTAGTCCGATCATAAATTTCCAATGGGTAGTTCATCAACTGTTGCACTGTTGCATAGTGCACCAGTGGCCTATCGCATTCCTACGGTGGATCAAATGATGTTTAGTCCGATCAATAATTCCCAATGGGTAGTTCATCAACTGTTGCATAGTGCAGCAGTGGCCAATCGCATTCCTACGGAGGATCAAATTATGTTAAGTCCGATCAATAATTCCCAATGGGTAGTTCATCAACTGTTGCACTGTTGCATAGTGCAGCAGTGGCCAATCGCATTCCTACGGTGGATCAAATGATGTTTAGTCCGATCAATAATTCCCAATGGGTAGTTCATCAACTGTTGCACTGTTGCATAGTGCAGCAGTGGCCAATCGCATTCCTACGGTGGATCAAATGATGTTTAGTCCGATCAATAATTCCCCAATGGGTAGTTCATCAACTGTTGCACTGTTGCATAGTGCAGCAGTGGCCAATCGCATTCCTACGGAGGATCAAATGATGTTTAGTCCGATCAATAATTCCCCATGGGTAGTTCATCAACTGTTGCACTGTTGCATAGTGCAGCAGTGGCCAATCGCATTCCTACGGAGGATCAAATGATGTTTAGTCCGATCAATAATTCCCAATGGGTAGTTCATCAACTGTTGCATAGTGCAGCAGTGGCCAATCGCATTTCTACGGTGGATCAAATGATGTTTAGTCCGATCAATAATTCCCAATGGGTAGTTCATCAACTGTTGCATAGTGCAGCAGTGGCCAATCGCATTCCTACGGTGGATCAAATGATGTTTAGTCCGATCAATAATTCCCAATGGGTAGTTCATCAACTGTTGCACTTTGGCAAGAGTGCAGAAGCTGGGCAATCGCGAGGCTGCGAATCCAGATCTTGGTCACGGAATGACTCGCCTTTTACAGGGTCAATACATGGGGAAGCATCTTTTTTAAATCCTTTATATTAAGTTCACTTGCTTGCTTGTTTAGGACCGTGCAAATCTTTTGGTCGTTTTTTAACCCACTTCCCGTGATCCAATCGAGCTGACATTTTGCACACAGACTCGTTGTGCGTGACAATTATTGTTCGTGAAAAAAAATTCCCAAAATTTTACACTTTTTAGGCAAAAAAAATGTATTTTACATTTATTCAAATAGAACGTATTCATGGCTTTGGCTGAACGTCAGAGTGTAAGAGCCCAGAGCGTAACCCCTCCACAGGCCGTGGCGGAGTAGCGCAGTTGGTAGCGCCCTCGCTTCCCATGCCAAAGGTCGC